TGAAAAACGTAGTCAATACAGTAATACCGAAAAAAATCTTTACACATTGAATGATGGAAACAGTCAGTTAGAAGCACATTCAAAATATCCTTTATAAATCCCTGCATTATCTTTTTGCATGTAGATAAACATGAAATCAACACCGAAAAATTTAGAACCCGGAAAAAAGGCTCAACATAGTCAATAATACAGAAAAAATATTCAATCCCTTTAAAAATTGTAATTGGCAGCCATATCTCACCCTAAAATTAAAATCATGGAAAACAGCATCATGCTTGTTCATAATCCAAAGCTGAGTGCTCTATCCGAAGCAAATTTCAGTGGCAGCCTGTGTACATTGAGTGAAAATAATCAATTATGCAAACCATCCACTATACTGTATAAGGAAAAACTGCATGTACAGTATTGTGTTTGACCTAAAAGGTCTTCAGTTTTTGGAATTAAGAATAAAACTTCAATATATTACCAATAAGCATTTAAATTGTCTAATACCGATATTTGGTCTAATTTATGGGCTTTTCTTTTTATTAAGGACCAGAAAATTCTTTATACTGATAAAATTTTTGTAGACAAGATTGCTGTATGGAGAGCCCACATGTATGTACTGTATATTGATCACAAGGATGAGGGGTAAATTGCATTTACTGTATTTGTATTTTGAATTTTCTTCTTTACTTCATCAAAAGATGGTGTAAATTTTTACGATTCCTCACATGTCCATCGTGGGAGTACACTACTTTAAAACATGTAAAATAGCTGTTTCCTCCTAAAATGTCGGTCTTGAATGCTATATAATGAATTTCGTAACAAGGCATTTTTCTCAGGGGTCAGTGGGAGTTCGTTGTTACGAGGTTCCACTGTTTAACGCAATCCCTAGCGACAAAAAAAAAGAAAGACACACACACACATCAAAGTTTATTTTGCCAATATGAAAATGCCTATACATTTCAACAATATGACGGCATAAACGTTATATTCTTTGGGCTGAATTCGGGATGCGCCCCATTCGGGATACGCCAACGGAAGGTTGACATTTTTACGTTACCGGGCCCCCATGATTTAGAAGCGGACTTACGTGGCCACAGGGTCAATGGTCAGCTGCAGCCAGAGATCCCCTGCCCAAGGACTCGTTTCCGAACCCACGACCTTCGCGTTCACAGAGTAGTACGTGGAAAGTAAAATTATGACTGCGGGTACTGGATTCGAATGAGAGTCGGTCGTGACCCAGTATACAGGGCTTTTTTAAAACAGTATATATACGTGGTCTCTCTCTCCTTCTACAACGATTTTCTCTGCATAATGATTTTTTTTTTCCTTGTGGGATTCTCTCCCCGTGTTATGGGCAGTGTTCCCCAACCCGTGGTCCGCGGACCAGCACTCTGGTCCACGGAAATTTCTTGCGGGTCCGCCAGGAAATTTCAACATGATAAAAGTACTGTAGCAATGAAGCCTTTTATTTCTAACTAAAATTTTGGAAAGGCAATGGCATTTGAAATTATCTGATGAAAAATAAAAGTTGGCTTTTCTCTTAATACATTTTTTTTCACCTATACAGCTGTTACCTTGCCACAACATCCAGCCAATGGCTTGAGATAGGGACACTTTGCCAACATTTTCCAGAAAATTAGAAAAAGTTTGGTCTAAATTCTGATATCATAAACAAATTGAGCTATTTATTTTCACAAAATTGAAAATACATTTAATATAAATGTACTCTGTTTCACAAAATAAATCTGATTTTGTGCTTCTTTTTTCAATTTTTTTGCAATAATCTGTGCACATGATACCAATACCTAGTCTTGTTCATTGATTTTTGAGCTCCTTTTCAGGCAAAAAAAATCTGCTTTTATGTGGGTTTCCACTTTCCACTGCACAGATGTTTTCTGTATATAGAAGTTGAGGGAAACAACTTTTATTTAATTTTTAGGGGACTCATTCCTACTTTTTGATATGCAGGAGAACCAGTGAAATATGTTTGCATTAAAGTCTATGCAAGAACAAGATCCAACACGTGGATGAACCGATATGTATATAGGGACGAGTTCCAAGCACCAACTCTGTCCGCATCTCGGGGTCCAACTTTATATATGCAACAACACACTGATTCGCAGAAAATTTCGGCGAAGGGTCAGTATATGCCATCCGTAAGTCGAAGGTCACAAAAATGATTCGCTCAAGAAGTTCCGCCGCAGAAAATCCCAAATTTTAAACGTCCCCGACGAGAGTAAATAGATTGAGAATCGAAACGTAAATATATACAGTACACTAGTACAGTTTACAGTACAACCCATGATCGAGAGACTGGTTCGATTATCGTATAATCGTCATTATTTCCATGCCTGGTTTTCCTGTATACAGTGCGAGAATATAAGACGACGTTGGCCTCGGAGGGATGTCGACCATCGACGACGACGGGACACGAATTCCGTGTGTGCGGATGGATGACCTGACCCTCGTCATCGGTACCCGGCAACACAACACGAATGCCCCAAGGCTTTGTTGACCTCAATGGGATCCGTTTTTCCGATCCCAGCTTTGACCTCTGCGGTCTTCATCCACGACACACACACACACACACAAAAATAGAAGAAAACATGCTGTCTAAATAATAGTGGACCATCCTTGAAGACTCAAGGTCCGGAACCTTACGCGGACTTGCAAACTCCATTACACAACGATTCTTATGTTTCGCGACGCGAAAAAAGTTCATCTCGTCAATTGGATGAAGGACACTTGACTACAAAAAAAAAACACAGCGACAAGAAGATTTTTTCAAATTTATGCGAGTTCAGTCATTTGACGGATGTGTTATTAATTAAACTATACATAGAATACCTATTTTCCTGAAAACATTTTTGCGAATATTCACTCATAATGTTTGCATACTTTGGTTCATATCGGCAAGTGCATGGATGGGAAAAAGACACTTGGCCAAGAAAGCAAAGAAAAAAAAATCATTTTTCAAACGCATGCGCGTTCAGTCTCTTGACAGATACAGTAAATGTTATCAATTGACTACAGTTCATTTATTGCCTATTTTCCTTGAAATTTTTTTTTGCAAATATGCACTCATGTGTTAGCATATTCCTGAATGGTTCATCTTGGCAAGTGGATGGAAAGAAGGAAGCTTGACGAAAGCACAGCAAAGCGACAAAACTACATTTTATCAAATGGATGCGAATTCAGTCAGTTAACGGATATGATGTTAGTGAACTGAATTTTCATTCATGGTCGAAGCCGTGCGCGGAACTAAAAAAAAAAAAAAGGTTCTAAAAACAGGGTATCAATAAAAATTTATGCATTTCGTCTGGGAATCGGAATTATCCGAACTATTTTGAGATGACGCACACGCTTGGTGTTTGTGGTGTACACTCCTTATACATTCAAGGTTTGTCCAATCTACAGTATATTTCCTCCGAATAGTTGGATCCGAGTAAATAACCAAAATACATCTTGATGGAAAAATTCTCTGAAACACCTCGACGGAACTTATTCATCAAGCAGGTATAGACTGTCTGGTGCCGGTACGTGCTATAGATATGGCTGATCGTCTCATCTCGACCCATCATCGCTCGACGAATAATAGGTTCCAAGGGGGGGTTCCGTTCGTCCTTCACAAGGGCGAGGAAGTCACAATAGGTTTTCAAGGTTCCCGTGTTTTCGCTTCCTGGGAGACTTGAGAAGCACTGTCTGAAAAAGGCGAACCGCGATGCTTGGGGCAAGCGCATGACGAAGGAAAGCAGGTTGCCGTCGATATTGCTCGATAAGATTACAATAATGATTACCTTCTTTGATGTCACTTTATGATTTCAAGTGAAAATTGAACAACGCTGTGCATTTCGCAACCGTCATTTTTTTAAGCAAAGGACAACAAGACTACGTTTGTTTCCAGGAAGTGTACAAGAACTAACTGACCGAAGTACAGTTACCACGCATGAACTGAAGCGGAGGGCTAGTCTTTTAGCGACATCTACTTTTGTCTACAAAATCATCAAAATGAAACTAGAGATTTCGTCTCCCTAGGTGTCTAGTAAAAGCGTGTATGTCTGTGTATAGTTGGACGGAAATAGGCTCCCAGGAAAATCCCAAGGCAGCATGTATTTATGCATCAAAAAATTCCACTTGATAACTATACGAGAGGTAATGGTGTGTACACAATTTCTGAATTATTGAAAAAGTTGACTTGCGGTTTGATAGTCTAATTTCAATGGGAATGATCAATTTACAAGTCTGAAGTTTTCCCGATACAAGTTTCTCATTTTGTGCTGGAATATGCACGAAGAAACTCTTGCAGACCTGCCAGCATGAACCAACCAGGGATTGGAAGCTTGACATTCACAGTTGTTGTCCTTTCTATTACAGGACTGAGTTGAGAATAAAAGAACCAAGTTCTTATTCTGGATTAATATTCTTTATACAATGTTCTCATCCACATACAAAACATTCAATACAACAATACAAATGCACAAACACACAAGTCCAGCTTGTACTTTACTTTGAAATAGGGTTGAGCTTTATCTAATACTAAAAAAAAAAAAAAAAAAAAAAAAAAAAGCCAGGAGCAAAATCTTGCCCGAATTCATGGTGGAGAGACTTGGACAGAGAAGATCTTTTATAAGAAGAAAAGCTTCAAGGAGTGATGAAGAGGTTAGGCACACACTACTGTACATATCAACCCATCAAAAGGGCCTACATGGAAGACAATTTTGCATCAGCTTTTTGGAGAACACTGCCATATGAGGATATCTTTTGGTGAAGACAGTGCATGGATAGAAAGTTTCATTCCTGCTACAGTGTTTTTTTCTTCTCAATGCTCAGTGTAACATGAATGAAGTTCACATTTCATTTATTTCGCAAAGCTGTGTTGCATCACTTCAGCCATGAAACCCACTTACTTTCTGCAAAAAGTGAGAAAACAGTTTTAAAAGCTTTTCAAAAGTCCATTTACGTATATGGGGCATGAAAACATTGATTCCGCTTCATATATATATTAATAGATAATTTTTGTGTGCAAAAAATATATGTACGTTTCCTGCTCGAATTTTTTCTTCTTTTTATTCCTGCTGGGCCAGAGCCATCAATCCATTACTGGATATAGTTAATTAACCTTCGAGAGACTCTCGAAGGTTTATCCATATACACATACACCCACAACGCTCATGCACGGAATTTTTCCCCTTCAAGAATATTTAGAAAATTCAAACTTTTTGTTTCCCTGACGCAGACTTCTTGGTAAATTCCCGGCAATTTTTGAAATTTACATGTCGCAGGAAGGCTTAGCTTTGAATCCATCCGCGCCTTCCACGCCCATCACCTCGGCCACTTCCGACGTCTCAACTGTGTTTTCCATCCATGAACAGGTTTCAGAGGGTTATGAATTCGACGAAGAATTCGGATGCAAGGTTCCGCATGCTGACAAGCTCCGGAAGTTGTTGGATGAAATTGATAATTGGGATTTCGACGTTTTCGCAGCTTCCGAAGTCACTGGTGGTCGGCCTTTGACTGTCGTCGCCTACTCTATCCTAAAAGTTCGATTTCCGTTTTAAAAATTATAATCATGATACTGTACTGTATATCTGCTAATTTAAAATTCAAAAAATAAATTGAGAATGAAGACGAAAAAAAGCAACTGTAAACTGATCCTTTGTATTCCAAACCTTCAAGTTAATTCGCGATCCACCGCATAATTTAGTTTCCTTGTTTTGAGACTCGCGGTCCCATATATCAGACATTTCAAGCGGAATTTTTTCTTCGGAATTCTAAATTATGCCTGATGCAACTGAATCCATTCTCGCCATTGATGACACCACATCTTTATTTTTAGAAACAGTTTAAGTGATATGTTTAATTTTCATGATTTCTGGAAACATGTGATTCGATTCATACTACCCCTTTGGTTCAAAATTTTCTCGAATAATTGGTTATTCAGTATACGAGGGGTCTAACAAGCGTTGTCGGAATAGAAATTATAATGGCATATAATTGCTGAGCTGGAAAAAAATTATTCTATAGGGAAAACATTTTCTTTGGCACAAAAAATCATTTTCCATGTAGGGAAAACATATTCTTTGGTATAAAAAATTCATTTTTTTTTTGCGCCGAAGAAAACGTTTTCCCTACAGAATAATTTTTTCCCAGCTCAATTATATGCCTTTATAATTTCTATTTCCGAGAAGTTTTGTTAGACCCCTCGTATACTGAATAACCTATTATAGAGAAAACATATTCTTTGGCACAAAACAATCTTTTTGCCACAAAATGTGTGTGCGAAAGAATATGTTTTTCCTAAAGAAAAATTCTTTTCAGCTCAAATATGTGCCATTATGATTTCTATTCCGAGAACATTTGTTAGGGACCTCGTAATAAATCGTTTATTTTGAAAAACTATAAACTGTATACATACTGAGGACACGTGAAACTGCGTCGTTTTTGTTGAGGATTAATTTTTGAATTGAATTTTTATTTTATAAGGTGTGCTTTAAGACACCAGGTTGAATAGAGATGTCTTATATATAAAAAACATTCCAGTCAATTTAGCGTTGGTGCAAAATATGTTAGGAAATGAGGCATCCTCGAGTTTTCTTTATTTTTTCGTCAGAATTTCTCTATAATCTTTTATTTTTTTCACACATACTATCGCCGGAAAATTGCGAGAAGTTTTGCTTACATTTTTTTTCTTTCAGAAAAGAGATTTGCTGACTGCCTTGTACCCGATCTGCCCGAAGAAACTTGTAAGATTCTTGGTCAGGGCTGAGAATCTTTATTTAGAAGACGCAATCTATCACAACAAGGAACATGCAGCCGATGTCACTCAGGCTGCTCATGTCATCCTCAATTCCCCACCTCTTAAGGTTTCTTGCAAAACTTTTTTGTCACTTCTTTCGCACGCGTTCTTGTGAAAATTATCGTCATATGTTTTCGAAGGCTTACTTCGACCCTTTGGACGTGTTTTCGTGTCTAATAGCTGCAACTGTCCACGACGTTGGTCATCCAGGGGTCGATGACAATTTCCTCAAAAGAACCGGGATGGTAACTTTAAATTCATACGTATTTTTTGCAATTATTTCCGGCGCTTTTCACTTCCTCAACAGGTTATTTTTTCCGTCTTATACTTGACAGTATAGGTAAGAGCCAGCTTAATCAAATTGCCGTGGGGGATCAACGAATTCCAACACAACAGAATCGCCATGATGATCATGGAAGATCCCGATTCCAATATTCTCGAGAATTTCGAGGATTTCTCGAGACGAAAGGTCTTGAAAAACATGGAAATGCTGGTAAGTCACAAATCTGGCAAGTTTTGATGACAGGAATTATTTGAGCAATATATGTATACGCTAGACATTAACTTTTCATTCATGCGAAAGTTCATTGTGTTATCGAATTGCCTGCATTTTTATTCCTTCGAGGCACCAATAAAATAGTGCTGTACATTTTTCTTGCATTTTTGTTTAATGAAGAAAATACTGCACATGAATAATGACGGTAAAATTTCGAAATTTTTTCGCATTTATGTCGGGATGAAGTATTTTTGGTCAAATCGGCTCAAAACTCTCGACCATAACGCATAATTTTCTTTCGTACAAATTTGAGCATTAAAAAATGTAAAAATTGTTTCTTTCAAGATTCGTTTGTTTTGCTTTCATTTACGAAAGTTTCTCGGCAATTATTTTAAAAGTGGCGAGTTCCGTTAAAATGTTTCGAACGGTCACCCGTCGACATTTGCGTTTTTCACTCCTGAATAAATAAATGCATTTTTTTTTTCAGATTTATGGCACTGACATCAAAGAACACCCTCGTTGGGTTCGACGCCTCATAAACGGAGCCAAGATTACCCCGGAAAAACTAATGGATAAAAAAACGCAAAGGAGAAGTTCGTCTGAGAGTTTTTCGGTGAGCCCTCAGCAGCATAAAACGATCGCAAATAAATCGTTTGCAGTACTGAAAATAACGTCATAAGTACTTGAATTTATATAATTGAATTGCACTTTTCGCAGGCTTTGTGTGCGTTGTTACACTGTGCGGACATTTCAAATACGATGAGGCCGTTGAACTTGTATCTCATCTGGGCAGAACTCATAACCGACGAACTGTTTCGACAGGGAGATTTAGAAAGAGAACAGGGTCTTCATGTCACTCCGATTTGCGACAGGACTGTTTCGAACATGTTGGAAATTCAGGTAATTTCCACGTTCAAGCAATTCCGTACAGCAGGAATTTTAATCTGTACGAGAATGGAAAGATCATCGCAGAAAACTGGTACAAAGCCCCCTTCTGCATTTTCAACAAAAATCATACCGCATTTAATTGAATACCTTCACATCTGGACTATAGAGAGACCGAATTTTGAGAAAATAAGTTTCAAAACATTAGAAAACTTTTCAGGTAAAACCATGCATATTTTTGTAGAAAAAGAATGTGTACTGGATCTTCAAGAAGAAGAAGAACATGACTCTTATTCTTTCAGGGAATGTTACGCCATCACATTCTCCAGCAAACTTTTCCTTTTTTGGAGCTGAAAATTAAGGTGTTCCATCTTACGATTTATGAGTTCATTTTTTTTTAACCATAAACTTTCGTCTTATTGTTCTTCCGGAACATTCGAGATCTGAATCCTTCATGTATTAGGTACCTGGAAATTAGGGATTTAAAACTGCGAATAAAAACTGTAGCCATTTATTTGTTTAATTTTGCTGTACTGAACATTGCACTTCGGGCACAGTAAATGGCTATAACTTAGAATCGAAATTTACTCACTAATGCCGTTGCCTTACTTTAAAAAAAAGGTTGGATTTTTGAAGAATTTCGCCATACCAGCATGGAAAGCGTTGAGGGCTTTTGCAAACCACGACAAGTCTGTGGATGCAATGTTGACGAATGCGAAACTCAACATGACCCACTGGATGAACTTATCGAATGAACAGTGCAAAAATCAGCCCACTGACATCCTTTACTACCAACCGCTGGTGATTCATGCTAAAAATTCATCAAATCCAGCTGGTCATTAAAAAATAACCCCTTCTTGTATTTTCAGGCATGTAGTGTTGCCAATTGGAGTGAGATTTGGAAAGAAATAGCCTGGGATGCCCATGAGGATGTCCTCAGCCCCAGTTCATTATCGGCTGATTGCAACCTCGGAAAGATGGTTTGGAAAATTTTGTAATACCTTTTCAATCACTTTATTAAAAAAATTAGGAGAGCTGTTTGCATGAACAAAGGACACGCAGGTTGCAATAATTTAAACAGAAAACTTCATGCTATTTTGGAGAGACCCTTGCACTTGTTCCAATAATTCAGAAGGAGGGTTTCAGAAGGGGGAAGGAATTTATTGGCAAGATAGGATGCTTCTGGAAAATAGAATTGAACAAGTCATCACTTGGTTTTTTTTCTTTGCCAGAGCTCAATTTGCTACCAAGCTAAATCAAGTAAAAAAAATCGGTTCCCTTTTTTTTGGCCCACCCTGTATACGTTTCCACGCATGCTAAGCAAAATACACGCGTGTTTTATACGCACCTGACCAAAGCGTCTCAAGGATCTGATTCAAAGCAAATTCAATTTTAAATTCCCATTCCAGCAGGAAGCTTCTACTTCCGCTCGACTGAATACCGAAAAAGCTCCGACAAATGTACCCCGAGCAATCGCAGCGAAAGACAACAAGAAACAGCTGCCATCGCAGATCAAGACCAAGAACAATCAGAAATCCCTATATTCTTCGAAGGACGGAACTCGGACGAACCCGGGAAACAATGATAAGTCAAAAACGAACCCAGTCAAGCCAGAGCGTATGTCGACGACAAATAGACTGAATAAGGGCCCCGAAAACCCAATACGCAAGTCCAGCAACAGCAGAATAAGCAGCGACCAGCTCAAACGCGGGAAATCTAAACCACCCCGGGTTAGCGACAGCGGTGTCGAGTCAAACCCGAACCCAGAACCCGGGAAATTCTCGTCAAATCGTCACCAATTCCGTTCTCCAAAGGTGAGCACAGGGAAGCGGAACCCGTCGAACCTGTCGGTCATTGGTCGCGGGAAGCGCAGACCTGACGCTGGCAGCAGTGACATCGACGTGACGGACGATGACACTCGTCATTCGTGTTGGCTGAAAGTCGACACTGCTGACGCGTATTTTTCGTCCGACGGCGTCAACACGTCGTCGGGATTGGCGTGCGAAAATACACGCGAGACCCAAATGATCCACGGCAGGGAAACCCTGTGTGAAACCCGCAGTGTGAAGGCAGGCCTGGAATGTTTGGCTAAGCACGAAGATTGTACTGGTGGAGATGAGAAATAATGAAACCAGCAAAAAATCCGCAACCTAAAGAAAAATATAACGCCCTTCTGAAAAAAACCACATCCTTCTTCCAATTTATTGACCTTGAATCCAATTATAGTAACACCTGTCACAAAGTCGCTTTATCTCCTGTTCTAACCATATGAAAAAGTCTAAACATTATTGCAGCAAAATAAATCTTATCACTCCTTATTCAAAGCAAAATTGTAGCTTTGTTGCATGAAGTATTAAATAGCATGTCCCTGATGACATCAAAATGCATTTATTAAGCCCCTTACATTTGTACTCAGAACATTATAGCAAACCATTAGCAAACTGATTTCTTAAGGCAAGGACACATAGAACACTCCTTCCGCAAATCATTTTGGCCTTGGCCAGTTGGGTTTAAGAGGCGGTGTTGACTGATGGGGAGCACACTTAGTGTCCTTATATGAGTGATGTTGTCCTTAAATTAAGCAATGTGGACCAAGTTCTTTCAAGCATAGCCAGTGGGATTTCAGGTTGTAATGCAAGTGGTGTTGCTGGAGCCCTGGTAGCAACTTTGTCAAACAGAAACCTTCAGCAGTATGTGTGTGTTGGTATTGCCAGTGCTATTGCAGAAGCCACAACTGGTTTTGAATGTTTTGGAAGTCTGCAGGTTTCCTTCACACATCTTGAACAAAATAAAGGAGACCTTTGGAAACAGAGGAACTGAAGTGCACAGCAACCTGGTTGATTGATGGCATGATGGGGAGTAAAATTTGTGTCCTTGGGGATGCTTTTGCCCTTAAATTGAGCAATGGGGACCATGTTCTTTGAAGGGTACTTTCCTGTTATCTCAGTGCCTCATTCCTAGACCGCACTACCATCCAGACAAATCTTGAGGACAAGTTCATAATCACAACAACCTACCAGAAACTGTGAATTTTATTTTTCTGCATTCTGCTGAAACTGATTTTGGGAGGCAGTTAGGTAAAGTTAGTTTAGGTCAGGTTATGTTAGTTACAAATATCTTCTAATTAACATAACCTGACCTAACCTAACTTTTAGGTCAGGTTAAATTGGTCAGAGGGAAGGTACAGAGATAACAGGAAAGTAAGTACTGAGATAACAGGAAAGTACGTACTGAGATAACAGGAAAGTCATACTGAGATAGCAGGAAAGTACATACTGAGATGACAGGAAAGTACGTACTGAGATAACAGGAAAGTATGTACTGTTATCTTAACTTGCTTGATAAAAATATTCTCTTTGGTTGTGTCAATAAATAAAATACTTGATTACAAAATATGAATGCACGATATATTTCTATTCCTTTGGTATACAGAATCACACTTGTATATTCAATACACACAATCACACAAGCAGAGTCAAGACAATATTAGAATTTTGAAGTCTTGCTAAAATATTGCAAGTCTTCCTGAGAATAATCACAAGAGTCAGGTCCGATTCTCTAGTGGGATTCTTCTGGGGAATTCAAGGAAAGACACAAATATATATAGCTTCTAGACTATTGGGCTCATGACATATTTCCAGAATTTGGGGATGCATATCCAGGTTTCGGAACCAGGATATGTATCTCAAGAACTAGCACAAAAATATTATCCGAATAGGAGAAACCAAATTTTGGTGGAACAGCAATTACCGTTAGTAACTGTCAGCAGGAAAAGGAACATTAAATGTGAGCCTGAAGGCGAAAATGGTCATACACATCTGAGTCAGGCAAGCGCAAAAGTCGTCAAACCAAAACAAGGTGAAAATATATTCATGGGAAAGTTTTCTTCCCATGTTCATCTAAGCTTGGAAAAGAGATAAATAAGAGAGAAGAAACTTGAAACATAATGTCGAGTATTTTGCAGGATAACAGTACTGAGATAACAGGAAAGTACGTACTGAGATAACAGGAAAGTACGTACTGAGATAACAGGAAAGTACGTACTGAGATAACAGGAAAGTACGTACTGAGATAACAGGAAAGTACCCTTTCAAGCATAGCCAGTTGGATTTCAGGTTGTATGGCAGGTGGTGTTACTGGAGCCTAGGCAGCAACTTTGTCAAACAGAAACCCTCAGCTGCCTGTGTGTGTGTTGGTATAACCAGTGCTGCTGGGAACTGAGGTATGCGTTTGTAAATAATTATATTCATAAAATGCCCTCCATCTCTGAAACTGGTGTTGGGGTTTACAGAGAGCCTAGCATCAAAGAACTCGCACTTGAGAACTCACCCCCGCAAGAACCTTCAAATGGAAAATTTTTTGTTCGTTCCCACACACAAAAAACTGACTGGCATTCAACAACTTGCATATGATAGTGTAGCGCGGTTCCCGCACAATCCACTATCATGCCTTAATCATGATGAAGAAAATCTGGCCACGGGTACGCAAAGACCCGACGTATACGCTGGCTGAAACAAATGCTGTATCGACATCGACGATAGCGATGACGTTATTATTTTGTTGTTCCTTTGTGGGCGCATAATGCGACACGCACTGATGCTGACGCGTTTCTTTTCAAATTCGCGAGCGTATAATAAACATATCATTTGAGTTGATCCAAAAGAGAATGAAACAATCCACCCACCCTCCAGCAGCAGTTGATCCAGGGCAGCGAAACCCTGCGCGCATGCTGTGAAACCCGCCGTGTGCGGGTGGCTTTAATAAATGTTCTGCTTGAAACGTGAAAGATAGATAGACTGCTGCAGTTGATGTGGAATAATTGGCTTGATTTTCTTTATTTATTGACAGGTGCGTTTGCGCGTCTCGAATGATTTTCGTGCATTTTCAAAAAAAAAATTTCAATTATTGGTGGCAGAATAATCCCATATCCAAACCGATTTCTCGGTAGCATATATTGTTTCATGCATTCAGATCTTTATTTTCCTCCACTTTTCACCCCCGAACAAGACTATACGAGTATATGCCCTTTCCTAAGTATTTCATTTCACAACAATACTTTATTAAACTGTATTATGTACAGTATTGTACTTCACTAATTTTGAAGGATTTCACTTCACGTCTGGATAAATGCGCATCATTTTCAGACGAGGGATTGTTTGGGTACTGCTGTATATATTTATACATAGTCTCCTCTCTAACTGACGTAAACATTCGTATATTTACCTGATGATGTACAGTGTTACACCCTTGATTATGATGTGTGCAGGAAAATTGTGTCCAAAGAACCCTTTTTAGAAATATTCTGCCAGAAGCTTGGCCAAGGCATTTACGTGATTTACCCCGATTGAAGGGCAAAATACCTTCTTAATTTCCCACTTTTAGACATTTTTGCGATGATGCTAGGATTTTTTCCTTGCACGCTGTCAATTGATCACATTTATAGAGCTAATTTTGTGAGTGAGCGCAAGAGTTGGATATACAGCAGTAGCTGATAATACAGTATTACAAAACTGCGAATGAATTCTTGTCGTTTTTGTCTGAGGCGATGCGAGAGAGAAATGAAAGAGGAATGTATCTTCTATACAGGGAATTACATATTTTTCTGTGTACAGGGTTTTCTAAATTTTCAATGATTATGCATCAATTTGGATAGTGCCTATTAAAATAATCAAGTAGGCATTGTTTCAAGGAAATCTCGTTTTTCTCTCCTAGTATTTCGTCAGGAGATATATATAAATGCTGTGTGAAAACTGTAAAGAACCGCACTTGCGCGTATCTCATTATTATTCAGGATCATCGCGAAATAATCGAACTTTAATTTTGGATCGTTTAAACTAGATCGTGAATAGTTCTGCATGTATAATATTGCCTTCAAACTAACAATTTCTTGTCGTTTATTCAAGGAAGGCAGGTAACTTTCGTATACTGTATACAGTATAGGAACGATGATTATCGAAAACATGACAGATGATTGGTTCGAGGGCATCCTCAAGGCAACAGTGGACAAAACCGCGACCGTGATTTCAGTCGAAATCAAGCCCGGGCTGGAAATTGGCGAAAATTACGGCAGTTCGACTTTCCGCATAAGAATCCATTATAAAACCGAGACAGATGACGGAACCGGTGGAGAAAAAGTGCTCCACGCCTTTGCCAAATTGCCGCCAACGGTCGAGTCTCATCGAGCATTCCTGGATTCGCACGACATTTTCGAAAGAGAAGCGATCGTCTACAACCAGCTGTTGCCGGAAATGTACAAGAATAGCGTGGCGAAAAACGTTCCGAGTCCTAAAGTTTATTTTGCGAGTGGCAAAGGAGAAACGCAAATAATCTTGATGGAAGATCTGGTCGCCCGGGACTTTGCACTGGGAAACAGGAGAACGGGATTCGATTTGGAGGAAACCAAATGTGTCCTCGAAGCCTTTGCCAGGTACTGTAACTATACTTGGAAAATGTGAATACTGTATATGCAGTTGAAAATTCGAAATAAAAGTGGAACTGAATTCAGAATGATGAGGATGGAATGGCCGTGCTTGGGCCTTATTGTCCCTATATGTCAGAACATCTGCATGTTGGACCTCCTTTTTCCGTAGGCTTCAACAAGAATACAGTATTTCTATACAGTAATGGGTTTTCCTATATAAATCCATTATTCAGAAAAAGTCTCCCCAAAAATCAAATAGAGTAAGTTTTCCAACTACCAGATACAGAAAATAAATGTTCAGAAGAAAAACACGCAGAATCTGATATTCTGGCATCAGAGGGAGCTCAATAAAGAAGCAAAGAACAATAACAGTTGGTTTTGCAATATTAAGCACACATGATAGAAAAAATTGCAAAAAATTAGCCTGTTTTTGATCATGATGTATGGCTATTTTACAGTGAATTTTATGTTTAGTATTTGTGAATGTAAATTGCTCAGTTTCTTCAAGATATAGAAAAATGTAGGAAAATAAAATCCAAAAATTTTCCCAGATTTTGGAAAAGTATCAAAATGTCGAGATATTGCCTGTGTGTAAGTTCCCTTGAAAATTTAAATTTAAATATTTAATACAAAAAATGGCAATGCATTCAGAACTGATCAGACTACAAGGAAATTTTAAAAATTTTAAATTAGCTACTGTGGAAAGTATCTGTCTTGAATTTCTGAAATTGTATTTACCTTTTGCCACAAAACCTGGGAGTTTGCTATAGAAAACCTCTTCATGTACAAATAAAAATGAAGGGATATGGTCAAACAAGGTCTTGTTCTGTAGCTAACTTCTTTGTGGAGATTTTGCATATTTTCAATTCTACATTTCCCCATTATTGGAGGACAGAAAAATACCTGAGCCCGAAATGGGTAGTTATGATGTGTGAATCAATAATTTTCTATGACAAGATTTTTTCTAAAAAAGATTATGCAGTGCCTCCTTTTGCTCCTATATATATTGGATGCTCGAGCCTTTTTCTATCATTTTTTTGGCTACAGCTTAAAAATATATAAATAAATAAAGGTCAATTCATTTTAATGCAGCTTCCACGCCCATTCGTTTGCACTGAGAGAACGAAGTGATAACAGAGACCTTCTGAAGTTCCTCGTCAAACCGTGTGACCCGTGGATGCTGTACGACTGGTCAGGAAGGCAAAACCGTAATAAGACGCTGTCTCGGTCACCGGTCGCTAACAACTTACGGGATTTCCGACATCTGGGCGGCACAACGGAGGAAAATGACGAACTCATTCGCCGTGTCGAGGAATACATGAAAACAGACATGAGAGAACGCATCGTAAGCCTAATGAAACCGACGAAATTTTCGTGTTTCGTTCTCGGAGATTGTTGGGTCAACAACATGATGATCAGGTAACTTTGAATTTCACATTTTTCTTTCGTGGCCATTGGCTTTTAATGTTTGCTCTGTACTATAAATCATCGAAGATACGAGGAAATCGACGGAGTGAAGGTACCGAGAGAAGCCTGCTTGCTTGATTTCCAGGTCACCCGATTTGCAAGACCGATGATGGATTTGGCATATTTTTGGTACACAAGTACATGCCGCGAAGTGTTCAACAATTTTGACGTCGTTTTCGAGTTTTACTACGAAGAATTTGTCAAGTGGCTGAAGTTACTCGGATCACAAATGGGACAAACGTTGACTCTGTCTGAGCTTTTAGAAGAGTTTGAAGCAGTGGAAGAAATGGGATTCAACATGTCTCTATTCGGATTAGCGGTGCTTATGATCAGTCGGGAAGATTTTGGCGAAGATTATGGCCAGGGAGGGTTTGCAGAGGATTTTCCGAGGCTGGTGGAGAATGTATTAAATGGCAGTAACGGTAAAAAGGTGATTGATCGGTTTGTGGATCACGCGAAACGAGCCATGAAACAAAATATCTTGTAATAAAAATGGCGGGCATTGAATGTTCTTGAAATACAGTATACTATATACACTGCTTACAGAATTCAGAAAAAAAATCGATTTTTCCTCTCATTCTCTGTCGATTTTTATCGCCGTTCCTCGTGATAAACAAAGATTTACAGAACAACAAGAAAGTTAAAATTGCGTATCTTCTACTGAACCTCATACTGCTGAAAAACGAATTGACAGCATGCTAAACTTGGAAAGAGGGTTGATTTGACCAATTAGTCATTCACTTCTTTTTGAAGGACATCAAACTCCATTTTAATCAATCGTCTTCGCGGTGCGTGCCAGAATAATATCCCAAAGCAGCCTTTTTTGGAAGTCGAGTTACGAAGGTTTTAGAGGTAAAAATGTTCAGCTAGGATGGCCTGAATTATTATTATGACAATATAATTTAGGATCCACACATACAGGGAATAAAAAAAATTTGATAAAAGAGAGGTTTTCAATTTAGAAGGGTTTGAGACAGCAAGGTCCAAATGCATCAATTCATGACAAACTTCTCTGTGAGTTGATGGAAAATCATTGATTCCTTCTTTTCAACTGAAGAACTGCCGTGCATCAAGGAAAGACCCATCGGAAAATGAAATTTCCATTCGAATTTGATGAGATGACAAGCACAGTTGATAATAGCAGATGCTTCCACATATAATTTGGACATGTAATGCAAATTTAAAATTTCCCCTGACCGAAGGTGTGAACAATAATTTTTACAGTTATTTTTCGAATTGAGCAATTTTGTCCAGGTTCTCTATTATCCTTGTTATGCGCCATGTGTTTTATTTTAAAAGATACCGCTGAATTCGGCTTATGAGCATTTTATTTCGGACATATTCCCTTCCCCGTCAAGAGAAAACGGAAATTGTATTTGATTTCTTTCAGCTATTTCGGCAGAGTTTTTCCCGGGGTTTAAAAACTTTTTTGTCCAAGTTTAATGAGATAACTTTTCGCATATTTTAACCTACTTCAAAAGCTTGCACTTGCAGAAATTTATTTACTGCGGGTATAAAGGTCACAATGAACAGTACTTCACAGCTGAAGTACAATTTAGTACTTTAGTTTCATTCCATTTCAGCCATAAACCAAATTATACTCAATTTCTCAACCGAAAAGCGGGATTGCAGAACAACTCGTTTTCTTAGGAAATCCGGTTACAAAACGAGCTGGAAGGGAGGCTATGTGACAATGGAGGAGGGGAAACCCCCGGAGCGGGAATTTTCTTTGGGCGACTGGTGACGTACCTAGTCCTGTCACAACATGCCATGCATGACATATAGAGACGATCGGCGCCTTGCAGTTCGTCTGTACGTGTCAATTGCAGTTAGGTTTTAGATTCGGTCCCCGCTCATCAGTAGTGAACATGAATCGAGGAACTTATAAAATCTTTCTTCATATCTTGGATTAAAGACAAAGAAAAGCATGCGTTGCGAACACTGTATTGTTGGCATCAATGATGTTCAGGGAAGGGACAACTTTGTTCTGTTTTTGAGGGCTTTGGATGGCCACGTTTTATTACAATTGTACACACCGAACATGTCTTGCATGTCTTCAGGTTTGTGGCGAATCCGTGGAAGGAAGTTCCTTGGAAGTACTGTAGAACTCCGCAATGAACAATTTTGGTTTCTTTGGGCGAGTGTTGTGCTGCATATTAATTTATAGCATTTATTTAAAGGAATGCATTTGTTAAATGCCTTGGATTTTTGTTTTATTTGAACAAATAAATGAGCTGATGGAGTAAATGCATTGTATGCATCAAACATGCATATCATGATAACATAGTTTAGTTTTAATTTTTTACAATAAAATTTGGTGCATTGTTAAAGAAACCACATTGCCAGTACTAAATGAGTGTTCTATTCAACCAAAAACATACCATATGAGGCATTTTATGGACCACGAATGAATAATGGATGATGGGAGTTTAATTTATGTACCATGAAGTCATATCCAGTACAAGAATGAGTGTGACGTTTAAAATTTTCATTTGAAAAACATCACATCAAGTAAAGTATCAGTTGTCTTCCTTATACTGTAAGGATCAATAGCTTCTGCCAAACATTGTGTACAAAGGTATTTTATAAGCATTATATTTTTTGTCGTGTCATGTCATAACGTCTAAAACTTAACAACAATAATAAAAATACACATTCTTACGTCATTGGCCGTCAACTCCTAAAGTACTGGTTTTTCGCTCCGCAGAAAAGCCCGCCGCGGATGTGGACAGCTCCCCTGTCTTCCCGTCCGTGGGACGCAAGACAGGCAGGAGAGAAGCAGCAGAGAACCAATGCAGCTAGTGAGGGATGTGAAGCCGTGAAGCAAGGCGGATGTGGAGTGTTGGTGAACATCAAGTTGCCGCTCTTGCGCGCATTGTGCAATTTCAGCGGTTCCCATTGTAGGATTATTTCGTGGTACTGTAGTTGTGAACTGCAGGTCTCTTGAGTATTTTTCTGCGTTTTAAATGGTGCGTATTTAATGATCTTCTGTGTTTGTTGTGTTAGATTACAGTGAATCATTGAATTTCGAAGTACGCACAAGGGTTGGTTCATAAGCTTCGAGACTTTTTTTTAATCGATCCAACAGAGATCGTTTCAACAATTAAATATTTTTAAAGTTATATAGCCTTATCATTTGGCAACGCTTCAGTGGTGTTCAATGTACTCTCCACCGATTTCAATGCTTTTTTCATGCGACGAATCCAACAATTGGAACAGTGCTGAAAATGGAGTTCTGTTATTTGATTAGGTACCCAATGAATTCTGGCTGTTCCCAACAGCGAAGAACGACCTGATAGGGATTGCTTTTGAGGAAAGGAACAGCCTCATTTCCGCCATCAAAACAGCAGTTTAATCAACTAACATAACTCAATTATCAGCGCGGTTTTGATCCTTGGATTTGTTGAATAAAAAATTGCATTAAAATCGGCGTAGAGTATGTTTGTGTGTGAACAGTGCTGAAGTGTTGCCAAATGATGGGGTTATGCAAGTGAAAAAAATTTGGATTGTTGAAATGATCTCTGTTGGATTGATTTTAAAATGTTTCAGACCTATGATCCAATATCCGCGTTCATTATGTATTGTACCTGACAACTATAAGCCTAAATAAGTGATGGTGTACGGGATGAGAGATGCACCCAGACCAGTGAGCCAGCAGAAGAAATGTTTTCAAAACTGCCCCAGAAACGGTTGTCCAGATGTTTGCTGGAATGATGGAATCAGACTGCAAAAAACTTTATATAGCTTTATATTGAATTTGAACACGTTTTTGGATAAGTTTTGGGACCCAAATTAGAGAATTTCTGGACAGAAATCAGGCAAGTCGTGTTTTGTAGTTTTTGCTCAAAAGCTCTTCAATTCTGACCCAAAGCTTGAATTTTTTTTTTCAGAATAAAAAAAAAAAACGTTTATGCTCATGATGTACAAGTTCCATCGGCAAAAATATTTATTCTTTTACAGTATTGCTTATATTCGTTCAAAATAATGAACAAAAACTCCAAAATGGAAGCTATGATAGGACATAATAATTTTCTAATTCATTACAAGGCGTGCTTTGAAAAGTTTGAAACTCATATACTGTATTTTAAAATCAGCTTCACAATAAGTTCAAAACTTCTTGAAAAAATTTACTATTGCGTGTTGTACTGCCACTCATAAGTATTCAACAAAAAATTGCTCTGCCAATCTTTACTAAATTCCTGTCGGCAAAGGTCCAACATGATTTTTGGACCCTCTGGGACAAGGAAATGAAAAAAAACAGTAATGCACTCTATCTATCCCCCTGTTTATGTGCTTCATTTTTATGTCGCACAATATCATTGCATGTGAATGATGTGCATTCAATTCCGACAGCTTGACTTCTCCGAAAGAAAACGTAAAATGTGTTTTTTTTTTGCTAGCTTGGCATATTTCTTTCCTGTGTTTTAAAACGATCGTTGTCTCCAGAATTTAAACCGATACGTTTTTCGCATATTCCTGCTCCAATTTTAAAAGTGATGAAAGATTGTCATATTGCATTCGTCAATGGGAATATGTGATCTAGCTATTCTAGCATACGCAAGTTTCAAGATGCCCAGACGCAGTGGGAGGCTTTTTTTGTGGGCTGGCCACATCGTACTGTCCTTCCCTGCTAGGGTACAGTTCAGTACTTCAGTTTCATTTCCCTTCAGCCATAAAGCATGTGACCGCACGATTTCTCAACCAGAAACTGGATTACAGAACAACCCATTTTCCTCGGAAAGCGGGGGGAAAAAAGTACAGTAAACTACTGTAGGTAGTTGGATTGCTGTGTACACAGGGGAGGGAAACCCCTTGGCGGGAAAAATGCAACCCGCTGCCCACAGGATAATGTTCGTATCTCTATCTCCGGGCGCTCAAGATCAAAGCCTGGCTTCTCATAAATCGTTGAGTAAGATTCAAAGAACACCCAAAAATCCTGCTTCATTTCTTGGTTTAAAGAAGAAAAGAAGTTGCGTATGAATGACGAACATCGTCAGTTTCAATGCAGTGCTCGGAGAGGGGAATACATTACTGTGTTGTCTCATTTTGCATGTTTTGAATTGCCACGTTTATGGCAAGTGCGCGCATCGGCTCTGTCTTGCTGTCCGTGAGACGCGGGACAAGCAGAAACACTGACGTAAAACTGATGCGACTAGTGTGAGATGTGAAGCCGTGAACCTAAGGCAGCTTCGTGTTGCTGTCCATCAAGTTGCGGCGCTTGCGCGCATTGCATAATTCTAATACTGTAGTTGCTATTCTTCGCTGATTTTTTGCTGATGTGAACTGAATTTATTAGCATAATTTTCATTTTTGTCTACTATTGGGCGCATTTCTTGATCTAACTTGATTGATTCACAACTATAGTCGTGATCGAATCCTGGAATGCATTCGCGTACATGCACGCGAAAGCTGAACAAATATAAATCGTGTCTGGATATACATCCGTGTTTTGATGTATCTCTTCTGAAACGTTTTTGTTGTCTCATGAATTCATAATAAGTATTGCTGGGTTTCTGCGGTGCTGTGAACAGACTGAAGCAAACAGTGAGTGAAATCTGCCCTCTAAGTGTAATATTATACAAAAAAGCATTAACGAACCTGAGTGACTGCTGGTTGACATGCGTCACAGAAATATGAATCTTACGTATGTAGTGATATGGAGCATTTCTAGTACGAAACATATTTTAATCTGCATACTGCTAGTTACAAATCTGAGAATACCGAACATATATGCTCGAAAAGTGGTGGCACGGTAGAAGAAGTGATGGATAAAGTGATGGTTGTGACTCTTCGAGTGCTGTTGAGTGAAGAATATTTCGGGCATCGGGCTGAGTTGAGTTACTCTCAGGTACGTGTTGGATTTTCTCTGTGACATCATATTCTCACTTACGTTATTGTCCCTATGAATCTTCAGAATTGAGAAAATTTCCAATGAATGTACAATACAATTTCTTCTCCGAACAATGAAACAAGAATGGCTTCCGTGTTATGTGTTGGAGTCCAGCACAACCTTGGATAAATTCAAAATTGAAACTCCCGTCTCGGTGATTGAAATCTCACGCAAGACTCCCTTATCTATGGTAATTTTGTTTGTGGTCCACATCGTCTCTAAGCTATGCATAAAGATAAACCAAGACAGATGAGCTAGCATTTGGTACGCGCGTGTCACACGCCCCGGTAACCTTGAGAACCACGATTTCCTTTTTCTTGAAGCTTTGTAGTGAACTGCCTCACAATGTTGTTCACCCCAATGTCCAATGCATTGAAAACAAATCCGTTTTCATTCCATAGCGGAAAGAAGGCTTTGTGTCTGAGGACATGAACCAGCGGTTCCCATCATTCATCACAAATTCTTGGGGCTTGTGTATCTCGTGAAAAGGGTTGAAAGTGATGCTACGATCTCTTGTGCCTGTAGGTGCATTTCGTGTTCGTGCAAGCATCAGCGTTGGACTATCCATCAAGAGGGAAAAAATATGTTTACGTCAACTGCCTTTTGATTTACAGTAATTCTATTTGCCCAGTAAACAGTACAATAAGGTGGAACTCTGTAAGTCGAATTTCCGGGGATCAGCAAAAAATTCCGAGTTGGGGAAGCAAACTTTTGTTGAGGGAAAGAAAGAAATAATTGCAGGAAATTGTAATCGGTGAAATTCTGGACCTTGAATTTCTTCTCAAATGAGTTGACAGGATGGTGGACTTATATAGGCAAGGGCTTACTTGCCCAATTATTCTTTTACTTCCTTTCAGAACAAATCAGGCTACATTTTCTATTGCTTATCTTTTTCCAGTGTCAACAAAATGGCAGTCAAAAAACCTCCAAAATTTTGAGTTAAGGAGGCTTGAAGGGGAAAAGCCTTTGAGTTGGGGAGGTTTTTAATGCATAGTTCCGAAGGGTATTCAAGACAGGGGATTGAAAAAAAATCGACATAGGGAGGTATTTGACGTAGGGAAGTGCGAGTTATCAATGTCAGACCGTATAGAAAAAAAAACGTTCCGTGTTTTATCAGAATTTTTCTGGGAGTTTTAAAATTGAGTTGAACTCTGACCGCAAATTCAGAAGTGACGCGTTTTGTTATTATTTTATACCTGAAATGTATTGAGGGCAAAAACTCGGGAATAATAATAACCAATATGAGAACTGTGATGATGGAATATCTTCCTTTTGGCTCTTCTCGATACGTTGAGAAGGCTGGTACTATTCGCTGAAGTGATCATCAATAATCATTTTTTATTACCTTGGCTATTTCTTTTTCAAGAAAAGCTTGCCCGTTTGAAAATGGTGCATAATGCTTCTAAAATTGAGGCACTGGTAGGACATGATTTAGATTAATGCCACCATGCTTTGATGACGAAATTTTATAGAAACTGACGGCGGAGCAATTTATTAGAAATGAAGAGGCACGCGGATGGAATCAGCTGTAGGAAGAGTATTTTTCTGTTGCCAAGCATTATCAGGAATAGTTGTATGAATAGCTTATCGATTATGGGGAGGCTGGAAATAATTTGCTCGTTGATATTACCTGTGCAGTACTGAAAAATTAAACTTAATTTTGAAGCGGAATTTGCTGTAACTGTGGTCTAAAATTACTGTATTGTTCTCAGAATAATTAAATACTGCAGTGGGATTTCATAGGCAAGAAAGGGCGTGCATGGTGTTGACAAATTTGATGAATCAAAAAGGAATGATATGTTTTGATGAATTAGTGGCGGCGGTTTTTTTCAGAGAGACATTGATTGGTACTCAATGAAACCCTTACCCACATGCAGTAAATTATAACTGATACACATCGACGGATTTGACCAGTATTAGTTGTTGAACTCGGCCCATTTTATGTGTGTGTGACTCAGAATCTCTGCTACCCGGCCCTCGGTTCATGACCCTGCCCATGTGTACAGATTTTATGCTCCTCCGTGAAACCTTCTCCTGGTTTAAAGCATTATCCATTCATCCCTTCACGCGATGTCTAAAATATGCCCTATGCCCCCGCTTTTCCGAGGTGCATAACCTTTTAGAAACCGTTCGTGAACCGGAATACGGTATTAGAAGCTTCCGACAACTTATTCAAAGATAGTCAGTGATCGAGTGAAGGCATTGAGATTATTCTGGAGAACACAAAAGGTTGGATCCATTGTCCCATGATCTATTTGCAATAACTTGTGTTTGTGTTTCAATTTGTATGTGCTGTGATGTTTGTTATTCTTGAAGGAATGATGGCGATTTTTATGCATTCTGATGTAATGGGCTTTATTTTCTCCAAGTAACTGCACTAAAATCTTCGTACAACAAATTTATGGGGACTTCAGAAATTTTTTTGCAGTATAACAAATAAGTTGCTGTAACGAAATTTTTGGAATTATTGACTGGGAAGATTGCTTTAAATTAAACCTGTATACAGAGGAACAAATTTCGAAAAAGAGGATGTTCAGGTGATTTTTGAAGAATTTTTGTTCCTTGTTCCACCTTCCATTTATGTCCCAAGAACAACAAACCAGTCACAGTCACATTTTGAATGGGAAATTTGAGACTGCCTGCCTCCATTGAGGATTTTTCATTAGGAAAATCACAAAATGTTCCTCCAAAGATTTTTTTGCAGTACAGTACTGAAATTGGAGTTTCTTGTAACACAGTTTTTATAGCATGTACCCTATAAGATTTCTTCAAGGACTTGGAAACAGGTGGGAAAATTTTGTGAACGCTAGCAAGCTGCAAATAAAGTTTGTGCATAAATCTATCGATTTAAAAGCCAAAATCTAATTAACCTTTATCCAAAATACTGACCGAAACAATGCAGTGGGTGCTGTTGAAAGGGCGTGAATTTCCCCGCGAATCTTCACAAAATTTCCGTTGACTGCGGTTCTGGTTTGCTGAACATGGAACATACAGTACAGTATTTTGATTAAATATTTTAAATTTCGTATATTTTTAGGGAACACAAAGACAGAATACAATGAGCAGACCCATGGGTTTGTGTGAACATATGAGTCACACTTCCTGGAATTGAGAGACACACGAGAAAAGAGAATAATTCTTTCATGTTATGCTTTGGTCAACTCCTGATTTCTTTTTTTCCATGCAAGGCAAGTTGCTTTCAATACGTCTTCCCAAGTTCGGCATTGCCCTGGACCGGCAGTCAAAGTCTACGCATAAAATTGTTTTTACAGACGTGGCTATTCGTTGTGATGATAAGTGACTTCCTGTGAAGCGTTTCAACTTGTGGTTGTGTGAAGAAAAGTGTGTTCGGCTTCCTTTTTTTTTTCTATGATGTGATCTGAATTCCAAGTGCGAGTGTCTTAGATACTGTATTTATTGCTCGAATTTGTAAATTGATGTTGTCCACTTCTTAAGTGGGCCAGTTCCGCAGTTCCCCCAGGCGTCGATCACCCATCAGATACAGTTTTACAGTAGTACTAATTGTTAAACAGACCACTAGATGTCGTTGCTGCAGCATTTTGAAGCGACGTATGGAAATGAACGGGACTTCGGATTCTTTATTTTTCTTTATTATTACACTATTTTCTTTGCGATGTTCTGCGCACAATTTATGCTCACCCAGGTTGAAATGAGTTGAAATAGGGCATCGTTATGACATGAAAATGATATGCCTCATAACCTGCGTTTTCAGAAGCGTGAGTGAATTGATTGCGCTGACGCGTCATGATTGAAATCCGCGAATAATGCACGTTTGAATTGTTTGACAATCCCTTAAAATCTATTGGGTTTGTGCTTTTTCGTGATACGAATACCTCTTCACAGGCCAAGTGCATGTGTTATTGCGCGGACCAAAAATCTTCCGAAAGGCGACTGTGATGCTTGTGTGCACTGTGATCTTCAGACGGAAGGAGGATGATGATGATGATGACGGTCGTGCTTAACAGGGGAATCTCGGCATAGAAAACTCATTTTCCCCCAAAATAAAAATGAGGCCCAGTGACAACTTCTTTGTCATCACATGGACGACGTTATTATCCACCGTAATAGTCCGAGCAGCAGCATCGCAGTTATCTGTGCCGTCAACTGACGAAGCTTCCGTTGTTGTCGCTGATAGCGGAGAAGTGCCCAGTGGTGACTACTACTTGGACGACGATGTACTGAACATTTCCGAATTGGAAATCGGAGATGGACATTCGGAATTTGTTGAATGCCCCTGGACACGCACTGGAAAATGCTTGTGTGGGCTGTCGAGTGCAAATGTGTGGGAATTCTCGTGTCCCTTGGAGTTGCCAGCGGATCCGATGATGACAAATAGCACGGCTTTCAATGGGAATTATCCCGGGGAAAATGCGTCAACTTATTACAGGTACAGTGGAACATGGACGGATCACAAAAAAAAAAAAAGATTGAGTTGGAGAAGTTTCGAGTGAATGAAACAAGCAATTCTCTTGGGGAGAAAAAGAAGAATTATACAGAAAGTTGTAAATAATGATAGTCTGAGCCTTAAATTCCTTCTTGAATGAGTTGACGGGAACTTGAAGGCAAGGGTTCATGTACCCAATAAGTCTTACATTTCCTTTCAGAAAACAGAAAGTTTGATTTTTATTCCTTTTCCATTTTCTGGGTCAATAAAATAATGGCCAAAAGGTCTCCAGATAAGGTATGGAGGTTTGAGTAGGAAAGCTTTCAAGTTTAGAAGGTTTTTAGTGCTGTACATCATTTTTATAGGGAATTTTGACAGGAACTTGAAAATATCGAAGTATGAAGGTATTCGACTTGGAAGGGGTTTTAGTTTTGAAGGTTCAACTTCTATTTGGAAGGAATGGTCAACCGGGTCATCTTTTGTTTAAGGAAAGCTGGCTCGGTTCTGTGAAATCGTGTTTTGAGATAGAACGAATATAGAATTTCTATACAACGGATGTTTCAACATTTTTTTCAATGCAGTACTTTGCAGGTACTGCTTTTCGTTGAGCTAAAGTTCCTGTTAAGGTATCAAAGTTCCATATTTCGATTCACCATGAACACTTGAATCAATATAAACATGCGCGAATGTCTCCATAAGTGCAACAGAATCTCGTTACAAGAAACTCCGGGGGACATTTGGAAAAAAAATCGTTGTTACGAAAAATTCGTTATAATGAGCTTCTCGGTTCTTTGAGCATGTAGGCCGGGAATTTTGTGAGAAGCAGATAAAAATACCGTAAAGTACTTCCACAACATATATAGAGAATTTCAGTTATTAACAAATCGTTTTAACGAAAAATTCTTTATAACGAGATTCGTTATTGTGACGGGATTTCACTGCAAATATTTTTCCTCGCATTGTTGGCTTGCACCTTCAACTCCCCTTACCCCTGAAATACGGAAATCGATCAACTGTAGCTTTCTCATAACCATCACGTCTGTCTCAGTATTCATGGAAGAAAAAAAGAACATGCGATTAAAACTGAGAGAACTTTTGAAGCGACTCTCGCTGATTCCTTTTGGGGATTTCTCCGTCATTTTGTGTTTTACATTTCGACAGCATCCACAGTTACCCAGTGACGTTACAATTCCGCCCGGACTCCTTCGTGCTCGTCAAGTGTGCCTTAGACGCGTCGCCGTCGGACTTCAAATACCTCGGTGACCACGACTTCAAGAATGTGGATCGTGTCGAGTTTTACTCCTGCCCTCCGCCAAATGGCTCCTACTCTGCTTTGGTGACATCAATGGGCATTAGTCTCGAAGCTGTCGAGTCCTTCATAGTGGCAGAGTCTGCGTCGAATTTCGGTGCTGCCCTGAGTTCGTCCATGCTTTCCGGGATGAGCAACCTGACGTATGTTTCGTTTCGGGCTTGTGGGCTCACGTCGGTCCCCGAGGATATATTCGCGTCTTTCGTGAACTTGAGTGTCGTGGATCTGGCGGAGAACCGGTTGACGAGTTTGCCAGGGAGTCTTTTTCGGAACAACGTGAATTTGACGGTCGTGGACCTCAGGAATAATTTGATCGAGGAGCTGCCTGAAGAGGTTTTTGGATCGTCGCCGAACATGTCTTCGCTCTACTTGAACGGGAACCGGTTTCGGTCAATCAGTGAGGATAGTTTCAAGGTACAGTAGGCTCCATTTTTTTTATTTTCATCTTCATTAAAATACTGTACCTTATCAGGAGGCTTCAAATTGTTCGAAGTTCAGCGGATGCTGCATATTTTTTTCGGCTTGTTCGGGTTATTTTGGAAATGGATAGATAATGGAACCAACAGTGCATCGAATGGAACTTCACTGTTAAGGGAATACTGTACTTGAAATAATTTGAAAAGTTGATGGGAAATCTTTGACATACCGCATGAAATCGGGAAACGATCTCGAGCCTTTATTTAGCGTTTCACAGAAAGTTCTGGAATCAATAAGCTGAGATTATGAGATGTGAGAAGGGTTGAAACGAATTCCGTCGATTTCGTACAGTGCAGTATTTTACTTAGTTATTTAGTACAATATTAAAAAAAAGTACTATGGGTGTGTTTTTTGTGTGATAATATATTAATATTACGGAATATAATTCTCCAACCTCCTAATCTGTTCTTTGTAGATTCCCATGTTTTAGTTATTTTCAGCGTGAATGTTGTCCTGAAATTTCAATTGCCAAAAAATAAGAGCCTCAAAGCAGGGTCCAATCGGATGGAGTGTATACTGTATTTTTTAATTTGTACGAAGTTCTCATCAGATTTAATTGCGTTTTGGGATGAAGAAACTGGTGAAGTTTTTGAATGCGATATGCGATCGAAACAACAATTTTTTAAAGTTTTTTTCTGTCGAAGTTTTTTTAGTTACGGTAGTTGACGGGGAAGAAAGAAAGGAAGAATGCCCACCCTTACCTAATGATAGGGTTACAAATTATGCTTTAATAATTTCGTGACCGAAATTATTCAAGCTATCCATTATTCAGACATTCACTTGAATCGCGAATTTTATTTCCCGCTTCCCTTGAATTTGGTTGATGTTCGTAAATCTTACCTGGATTTTAATTTTTCTTCATTTATGAATGGAATGTAGAATAATCTCGGACTTCTACCACCAGGGAATGAGTGACTTGAAATTGTTGGAGTTGCGGAACAATCATCTTGGACCAAGGATCAACGCTTCCATGCTGAATTCGTTGAGTAGTTTACAATGGCTAAGCTTGGCGAACAACTCATTGAACGCACTTACTTCGGATTTGTTCAACTCCACGAAGCACATGGAGCGATTAGTGATTTCGAGAAACCCTGGTTTAAAATCGGTTCCTGAAGATTTATTGGGGAATCTGGCAAATCTAACGTATCTGAATATGGAGGAAAACGGTCTCGAAAGCGTGAGTTTCTTAAATTTTCAACCGAAGAGTTTTAGTTGACCTTTCATTTTGAATTTCATCTTCCAAAAAAAAATAATTATAGGTGCCCGGAAAATTTCTACAGAACAACTCGAAGCTTGTGAATGTCACTTTCGCTGTTCAGAATTTGACGACAATCCCAGGGGATTTCTTTAGCGCATGTTCGGTGTTGGAACGACTGGATTTGTCTGCGAACAAAATTTCGCACCTGCCGGACAATGCTTTCATTGGACTTACGAGTCTGCTGAAGTTGGATTTGTCCAACAACCTTTTGGACGTCATCAATGACTCCGTTTTTGCACCTTTGGAGAAGTTGACTGAGTTGTCCATTGCGAATAACAGGGTGACGTCTATTGGACTGAACGCTTTGCGTTCCAGCATCGGTAAGCATTCATTATGCCAAAACTTGGATCGGATTTGTGATTCATATTTCCAAAAGTTTTTTCCTTGTTTAAGTGAGTCCCGGTATAATGAAAGGCCCACACCATGGAAAATCCGCATGAGGAAAATTATTGAGGAAAAATGTGACTCGCGGAACGAAAAATGTTCCACGTGAAAAATTTTTCGTTTTCCATAAAACGCTTAAATTCAAATCAGTCTTGGGCTAAAATGTTGGAATTAAAAAAAAGTAATGAAAATTGGAGAAGATGCCTTCTCTATCTCTTGGAGATAATGCCTTTTTTCTTCAAAATTTGTGAAATTTAGAGCACAAACTTGTCAGGCATACTGACATTTGATACTTGTATGGTGGACTCTCTCTTCAACAATGTTGCCGACGACGATTGTATCGGTATAATTAAATAAATTTTTGTCCCGTAATGTTTTCTCCCCTTTTTATAGGACTCTCTACAACGAAATTCTTTTTACAAACGAATCGTTTTGGTCCCCTGAATTTTGTTGTACACGTAGTCCACATGCATGTATTCATTTTAAAATGTAACAATTTTTTCTATAACTACGGAAAATTAAAAATTTTAAAAGTTTAATACGATCTTTTGGCTAGTATCGGAAGCGAATTAAATGGTTTGCAATGAAATCTGAGGGGAGATTGCATTTTGCATAATATAAATAATTCGGCATAACGAAACACACTGAAACGTGCTATTTTCGTTATGTGAGGACACACTCTAGACTTTGTTCTAAAAGCTGTTCAAATTGATACGTTCGAGAATGACTTTTATGATTGGAAACATTCACTGGTATGATATGAACGTTGTTTTAGCTCTAGTTGAAGATGTTCAAAGATCTTGTGTAATGTTTTGATTTATAATGATGATTGAAGCTACTGTAGTACAGTATAATGATCCTTCGTCGTTGCAAATGTTTTTAGGGATGCACTTTTGGTTCGCTGCTCTTTTCGCGGAATTGTGCGACTAACTTGCAAGATTATTCTCGAAATAGGCTCGATGCAACAAAGATTACTGTCGAAAAATGCATGCATGCCATTTTAATGCTGGGTTTTAACTTTCAACTGTCCTCTTATTTTCAGGATTAATCTCGATTGATGCAAGTCACAATTTCCTCACATTCCCACGATTACTGGCGTCCGGATTCGCGAGAGCCACACCTTTCGGCGACCGACTAGAACTCAGAACTCTGGACTTGTCGTACAACCAAGTCTCAGAGTTGCACAACGAATGGATGACCGTGCTGACCCGACTCCAAACATTGTCCCTTCGAGGCAATAATCTCTCCGTTGTTGCCTACGATGACCTGTTGTCCGTGTCGCAAAGCATCCAAGTTGACCTGCGTGACAATGCTATTCACACTGTGGAATTCTACGACACTGGGGTGCTTTCGTTGTTGGACGGGGACCGAAATGATGGCGTGTCGCAAGCCGCGCAAGTGGAAGTGTTCTTGGCTGGAAATCCGTTTGCTTGCGATTGTCGATTATACCAGTTTGTCAAGTTTTTGAATGCGACGGACAAACGACGGGTTGCAGTGGATGCGAATAATGGTGGAGTGATGAAATGCTACAGCCCGGATTCCTTGGTGAATACAACTGTGGCTAAAGTGCCGTTGGAAGCCCTGATTTGTAATATGAGCAGAAGTGATTGTCCACCTGGTTGCAACTGCGTCATTCAACCGCACGGAAATAACGTGAGTTATTGTAAGCGCACGAAGTGTCTGAATTTGCAAGTGTACCATAGTGGGGATCTATATGTGTTGATCATTCGCATGCCTGCATGATTTTATCTATCGAGTTTTTGCTCGAAACGAGTTCTTGCTGATTCTATTTTGACGTCATTTCTTTATCCTAAGCTCAATTCATCGTTCCATGTAATGTACAGTACTATTATTATTGAATATAGATATTAAAGACCCCGTACCATGATACCATGAGCTTAAAAAAAACAAAACAAGCAAACTGTATAAGTACATTTGAACCTCAACAAGTCAAACTTCCCGAAGTCGAATCCCTCCCTGAGTCGATATTTTTCAAGTCCCCATCTGGATTCCCTTCAGGAGATTTTTAATTCATTGTTTCTAACTCAAAGTCTTTTTCTCTCAAACCTCCATAAGTAAAACTTTCTGAGGTCTTCTGGCTATTATTTTCTTGACATACGAAACAGAAAGGGAATAAAACAAGTAATTGGATGCGTCTTGAAACAAAGAGAGAGACTAATGGAGCAAATTAACCCCTGCCTCCAAGTACTGCATGCTAAACTCATGTAAGAAGCAAGTTAAGGCACAGAATATCCCCATTTACAATTTCCCGCAATTATTTCATGCTTCCCTGCAACAAAATAAATTTTTGTTCTGATGTCAAGGATTTTAGGAATAAATTTCCAGACTTGATCTTAGTTTGGAAGCGTCTTGTGCATGTCGTCTTCACTTTTCAACCCTGAAAACCGTGCTTGAGAGTCGAGAGGTTATGTTACTATGATCGGATGGTGGTTGAGAACTCAATGGGGATACAATTTATATATTTTTGTAATGCCTGCACTGTACTCTGTTCCCATGTATTCAAGTATTCGGACACGTTTTCTGATTTTTGAGGTGGAATTACCTTTTCGAGCTTTCGACGCTTACATTGTGTAGCACAATGCTGCAATTATTGTAGAGCCGAGAAAGTTTTCGGGCGTATAGAAATCATAAATTTTTTTGAAATTAAATCACATTTCATCCATTGTCCAATTTTACCGTAACGTGAATGAAATCCTTCGAATCTCGGCATATTAAATGTTTCCATTGCACAACATCTTACATAATAAAGCAGTGCCTAGTAATTTTGCTATGAACTGCTTGATACTTTTGATGATATCAAGTAAATGTTCGGCTTGGTTAGTTTAGTGTGAGCTCATTTGAGCTTCAGGGTTAAGTCAAGTTATGTCAGGTATTATATGGGGCGTATTCTTCATTATGTTAAGTTCAAGTGTGATAGTATTGGTTGAGGCTGGGATAATCCAATTGGAGGTTACTTCGGTTTTGACGTAAATGCACTGTGACCTTATTACTCTTGCGTCTCGTGAGATCAGAGGAAAATTTTGATGGGATGAACTTGAAAGTCAAACCTTTGCTTTTCCCAGGTAGTAGTTGACTGCCACGACAAGACCCAGCCAATTCCACACGAGTTCCCGAAAGGCACGACGATCCTTCGCTTGGAAAACAGCACGCTGTCGTCCATTCTGACGGTGTTCGCGAACAAGACCAATAATGCAACACGTACGATGTCATCACTGAAAGAACTTCACGCGAGTGACACTCAGTTGGCTATTTTGGAAATGCCGGAAGAGTTTCCTGCGTCGCTTCGATTGCTCGATATTAGCAGGAATAATTTGACTAGATTTCCGGCCGCGAAGATGTCGGCGTTGGTGAAAGCGGTTCCGGAGTTGAAGCTCAAGTTGGCTGGGAATCCATGGACGTGTGACTGTGCTACGAAGCCTTACTTCGACTTTTTGTTGGACAAATTCTCTAGGATTGAAGACTTTGAAGACGTCAAATGTGGCGGAGGCGCCGCCGGAAGAAGGTAGCACAGGAATGCTTTTGAGCCGATTTCGAGCTGGAGAAATTGACCATAAAATAGAAGGATATCTTATTGCATGTTTATTCCGAGATTGTTCGATTGGTCAATTTTCTTTGTTGTTGCAGCCATTAAACAGTTCGTATACAGGTTTTTGTTCAAAAGCTCCATAAACTCCAAAAATGTTACCGTACTTGAGAACGTGTACCGACATGTGCCCTCAAGTAAGACGCGCTCTTTGATTTTTCGGCCTAAAATTTTGGATAAAAACCTATCCCCAAAAAGTAAAATGCGGACCCAATTTTAATTGGCTGGGAAAGGTAATATTTTGAAGATGAAATGAATCAGAATTATAATTTTGTCTCGGGTTAAACCAGAATACAGTTAATGATCCATTGTTTAAATAAAATAAAAAACTTCTAAAAATTCATCTCAATTTTTTTTTTCAACTAAGAATCAGGTGTGACGTGCATTTATACACCTACAAAATTTTGAAAAATTATGCTCATCCTTCCTTCTTCCTCTGATATATAATTTTTTTGAGACCTTCAAACTCAACTTCGAGAAGTCCAACTTCAGTATTCAAGGGATTTACTTTTTGAAATATCTTCTGAAGTTAAAACATTTCATGCCAACCGCAATTGTTCAAGAGCTACACGTGCTGAAAATGTGAATTAAATTTTAAATACCGTATGTGCCTACTTAGCTTACTTTTCAAATGAAGCACATGTATATGCAATATATTTTATTTGTGTTAAATAGTATTGTACTTATTGTGGTCATGATCAGTTGAAGTCCATGCACTAAAAAAATTGAATTTTCAGCAGATTTGGTTCAAGAAAAATATGTTTCTTGGATTAGATCAATGTATAGTCAATTTTTCTTGAAATATTTAATATTGCCTAAATGTCCAAACGTTACACGGTAGGGCTTCAGATGCTGGTGAATATACTGTACAGTGACCGCATTAATGTACTATCCCGAATATTGCTAGATTTTTTTTCCCTTTTTGTTAATACCTTTGCTCCGACATGAATTCCAGGATTATTACGCGCATAAATAGCTGAACTAGTCACGTTTTTATAGGTATAATATCTCGTGTCTCATAGCTTTTGGTTCGAGTATAAAATTTCCTAATAAAAATGCAAGTTTACGTGAAGCGATCAAATGTCATATCTTCTGCATTCTATAGGCTGAGTGAATTGCTGCCTGAAGATTTATGTCCCGAGGCGTGGATCAGAACTGCTTGGGTTACCTCAACTCTTGCTGTCATGTGCGTGATGTTATTGATCATCACCGCTGCGTATATCCGCTACGGGTTCTATCTGAGGTACTTGATTCGAAATATCCGTTGTACAGCACGATTTGGTTGTTCACTTTTGAATAAAATGTGTTCTGTGATGTTGTTTCAGGGCTTGGCTGTACGCGAGAACCTGGGGACTGCCGTTGATTGCCTTACATGACAAGCTGACGAAGAGAATCGAGGATGAAGAAGGTTGCTGCTTCGATGTATTCATCAGCTATTCCTCCAAGGACGAAGCTTTTGTTGTTGAGGAATTGAGCCAAGGGTTGGAGCATGGGAACCCTCCTTACAAACTGAACCTACACTTCAGGTAGATTGGAATTGTTTTTCCATCGTCATCCACTGCTCTGTTTCCCACGTTAATTGTTTCGCTCAGTGATAAAAACTAAAGATACTGAAGACGAAATCGTCGTGGATGGAGGCGACTCGTATTGCGTTGATTGTACAGAATATCCCCTGAGACAAAATAGTTTCTGGAAGGCCGTGTTCATCGACAATTTTTGCCTGTATGGTATTGCTTTCATGAAGGATTCTCCATCTGTATTTCAGTTTAGATAAGCTGAAATACTTCTTCCTCAAAAGATGTACAGCCTATATAAACGTGAAATGAAATACTTTCAAGCCAGTGTATTTCCTCGTGTAAAATTTCTCGTGAACGTTGATTGATATGAACAACTGTACTCTTCACACATAACGTGGACAATTTACAGTAGAACTTTTTTGAGTAGAACTTCGAGGGACCAGCAAAAAACTGGGGTTAGGGAGATTTATGCATTTTTGTCGAGGAAAAGAAAGAATAATCACGAGAAATTGTAATTAGTAATATTTTGGGCCTTCAATTGCTTCTGAAATGAGTTACATTTTCATTGCTTTTCTCTTTCCTGTGTGAATAAAATAATGACCAAAAGGCCCCAAAAAATTCAAGTTATGGAGGTTTGAGGGGGAAAGCCTTTGAGTTAGGGAGGTTTTAATGAATTTTTTCCAAGGGGATTCAGTCAGGGACGTATGGACATTTTTTCAGTTTTGCTTTTCTGGGAGAGCTGTAAATTTGCGAAACAATATTTGCTGAACAGTTCTGTACGTTTTATCTGAACTCCTGATGATTATATTGGATGAGCCAATCAGCCCGAAAAGTTTCTCAAGTTCATTTTGTATCAATTATTCCGTGGATTACGTTCCACAGCTGGTTTCTTCATTCTGAAATTTTTGAAAAGCTAAACCCTGATGTTAATCAAGGAAAAGGTTTTAATGCGAACTATTTGTGAGCTTGACGCGATTCCGGGAAATTGTTAATCGACTTATTCTGTGCCTTCAGTTTCCGGGTTAACGAACGACTGAACCTGTAAGATCGATTGCCCGGAACACGAAAGTGTTCGGCACTGCTGTGGAAATGTTCCTGGTTTATTCTGACTCTTGCAATTAATGAAAATGCGGAAACAGTTCTGTGTTTCACAATTCCGGTACTCCGAGTCTGAGTAATATATACTGTATTTATTTATTTTTCTTCCCGTTATTCCACAGGGACTGGAAACCAGGCGAATTCATTCAGGACCAAGTGTACACTGCTGTGTCGCAGTCTCGACGCACTCTCGTGGTATTGTCAGAAAACTACGTGAACAGTGTTTGGGGAAGAGCAGAGTTCCGCGTGGCCCACACGAGGGCGCTGCAGGACCGTGTCGATCGCGTCATCGTCGTCTTGTTTGGGGACATGCCGCCGAAAGAAGCTATGGACGAATCCCTGCGCACCTATGTCAACTTGAAGACTTACCTCAAGTGGGGCGACTCACTTTTCTGGGAGCGGTTGAGGTAAATCAGAAAAAATAAAAGACTAATTTTCCTCGTCGTCTTGATTTATGAAAGAAAGGACAATCTTAAGTGTCACTAGTTGGACCCATAGACTAGACTAGAGTTTATTACAATAAAATATTGTTGCAACAAACTTCTCAAGACTTTTCAGGAAAAGTTTGTTGAACTGAATAATTTGTTACGACGAGATTTTCAAAATGAATGACTGGAAATATCGTCACATCAGACCTGCCTAACACTTTTCCTGCAGTTCTCAGATTTTTTATTATTGTTTGAAAAAAGGAGTACAATACTGTAAACTGAATAATTTGTTTCGACAAAATTTTCAAAATGAATGACTGGAAATATTGTTACATCAGACCTGCCTACGATCGATTAAATTTTGCTTCTCGGGCGTTTTCAGATTTTTTATTTTTTCGGGAAAACTGAGTGCGAAAAACTGGAAAATTTATCTTCATCATGTATTCCGTCAGTTGCACCAATCTCTTCATTCTAGGCGGATGATGTGAAAATCTCCTCATTTTGGGGAAATTTTGTGTGGAACCCCTTGGAAGCATGTTTGCTGTTGATTAGAGTTTCCATCCATGCTACAAGAGCCAGTCAGTCACATTTGGGATTGAAAATTTCGGACTGTGCCTGCCTTAGCCAGGGAATTCCTACCTGGAGAATCTATTAAACATTCCTCAAAAAAGTTTGTTTCATTGGAATTGGGAAGCTTGTTTCATTGGGATTGTTTCACCATGTAATGTATCGGCTTTTTGCTTGAGTTTGAGAAAAAGTTTGCAATACTGAAAAATTTGTTGCAATAAGATTTTACTGCATAAGCATGCGCAGATTTTCGCTGAAGTTTGCAGTGTCCTCGTTGAAACGCCAGAACCCTGATAATCTAGGTTGGTCACGCTTGCAATGATTTAATAATGGGATCGGATCAACTCTCAAAATTTATCTGTAGACCTGGTGAAACCTGTATGCATCGGATTCCAGATGAGATCTATTGGCTTTGGGAACCATTTTAAAGTCTTTGCATGTCCTATTTTTTCAGGTATGCGTTATCAAGACCATTGGCTTCGAGTAAGCGACCAACAACGAACGGGGACGTGAACGGATGTGAGTTGGGTGTGGTAAATAATGCTGTTGATGCTTGAAGTTCAATCGAGGGACATTTCTCTTCCGACGCTCCGATTCAGCGCGAAAAGGAGGAAACGAGTCTCAGTTTTTGATTTCATTTTGATTTTTATCGGTAATGTGACGAGGCTCAGTGATGAAACTATTTTGGGAAGACCGAGGGAATCTCTGAAGGAGCAATCGATTTATTTTTTATGATTTTGAATGATGAACACGCGATCCACATCGATTGCGTCTCGTTGGTTGTGCAAAGAAACATATTTTCTAGCAATAATTGCTTCGTTTTTCCGCGTTGGAATCGTTTTCTTTGCTTCACTCTTGTGCGAATGACTCTGCTGACTTGAGATTCTTAGGTTGTTATTTTTAAGAAAATATATTATCAGAAACATGATTTTTTACGAAAAGTATTTCGTGTAAATCGAGTGCGGATAAATGTATTTTTCATGCGTGTTCAACGAAGAAATCGCGATTTGCGTATTGCATTTTGTGACTTACTTTACATGTCAAATCTTTTTACGTGAATCCCGCATTATTCGGCGGCATTTCAGTGCCAATGTTTTTTATTTTTAAAGTAATTCAAAGCTATGCTTTTCGAATGGAAGCAAATATTTGGATCTGTTGCGGATGATGCCGACTTTGGTATGGAACAATGGATATTTTTGCCGGCTGTGTCTTTATAATTGAAGTGAAAATGAAGGCAATGCTTTGTGAAATCACACCTTGTCACTCGATGAAGCGTTGGTTTTTTCCGCTTGTTTTCTGAATTCTGATGCAGGTCTCTGTTTAAAATACGCTATACAAGTAAATGTGAACTCTCGTACACAACAAAACTCTTAAGGGCCAGAAAAAATCGCTGTAGAGAGAATTTCGTTTTAGACGAGAACCAGTTTAAAATATGTGGAAATTGTAAAAAAAAAAATGCGGACACGTTGTAAAGATTTCCAGGAAAATCGAATAATTTTATTTTCCAAGATTTTTCCATCTACAGTATTGAACAAATCGAAATATTTTATGGGCAAAAATTTGAAGAATATATAATTTTACTTTAATTCATTATTCAAAATCAGGCCTATTCTGTGAAATTATTCTTATAGGCTTTTTTCTGTCAACTCTGGAGTGTCTTTGTTTTTCCCTTTTTGGACTCATTTCCCTGCCGAAACGGCAGATATTCTGTATGGTCTTCTTTTGCAAAGGTATTATCCGTATCTTACATCAGTTCATCAAGCCAGATGCATTTGTAAAATAACAGTTCGATAATGTTGGTATTTATCGGAGCTGTGATTTTTCATCTGATTGGAATGTGTTTAGTTTTCTAAAAATTCAGAACAGCCCACAGCTGTGATACAAAATAGAAACAAGAGTCTGAAAACGAATGAACCGCAACAGCATTTAAAAACACATGAGCTATCAAGAAACGTTAACGAATGCGAAGATGTGTAAGGAATAGTTGAAAACTGAGTAAATGATTTAAAATCTGAAAGAGACCTTGTCTGAGTATATAAGGTCATGCAAAAAAAAATATATAAGCGAAAATCCTTCCCATCTAAAACAATCAACTGACCCAGAAGAAGAATACAGTAATCTAATATTGACCTCGTCAACTCTGTGAACGTGGGTCAAAGTTGTATTTGCAGTCAGTTCTTATGGAAATGAACAAATATATTGGCGCGTCAATCTGATCAAGATGAAGCGTGTGAAGATATCTCCCCCCCCCCCGCAAAAGAATTTCGTCCAAATTCGTGTCTTCAATCTGCGCTACATTTCAGAATTCCACGTAAAATGCGCGGATAATTCCAGAGTTCAACAAACCGGAAACTAAACGTTATCATCGGATGCATGCGTGCTGTCGAAATGCAGGAAGTGACAACAAGAAAAGCAGCTTCGCGACAGACCGATCAGCATGCATACTCACGATTTCCCCGGAATAGTCGACTTGACGGACGGAATTCGTCGATGTCGTGTCGCTGACGTGAATTCTTCCATATAGCCTCCAGCTGCAGGCAAAAAGGAATGACAACGTGTCGACACGCCACTTTCACTTGGCAGTATCCATCGGACCGGAAACACGAGGTTTCATCTCGTCTTGAATAATAATATCTTGTTCAACTCCTTTGGCCAACGAAAGGTTTCATTGTTTTATTGTTCTTTTTAGGACAAGAAATCTCCTTGTAACTGATTGCTGCTCGAAGAAACGAATCCGGGTGAAAGGAAACTTCAGAATCGAATCGCAGAGATTTCCATGATTTTTATTAATTGTAAAAATCGAGGTGAAAGCAATTGGCAACCGGTGATCGTGAGCGTCCTTGAAAGCTTTCCCATTGGCGAAGCGTCATTGCTCCACGTGCGAAACTGGGACAAAGCTCTTTTGAACGAGAGCGAAGCCTAAAAGGTGTCTTAAATATAAAATATCCCTGGTCTTCCAAAAAATTAATAGCGGTTTTCTTGTTGAAAAAAAGATGGCAGAAAAAAATTAAACCGGAATATAAACATTTTGCGGGAACTTCGTCTCGCAAGAAATCTGTATACATGTTCAATGCATTCATACAAAAATGTCGATCACTAAAATCTAGAGGCTGTTTTTTCCCATGTTCTCAAATTTTCTTATGAATAATAAATATCGAGAATTATGTTATAGCGTGTATTAGTTGAAGTTCTCGGTTGGGTTCATCATCAGACCGAAGAAAAAACAAAATAACTATTTAAAAAAAATGGATGCTCGTAAAGCGAGAAAATGCTTGCTTTTTTCAAAGTTATTTGAATTTGTAGTGTGTCCTGAAAATTTTTTTTTGCTCGCATTCATTCATTCAAGTCTTAATCAAATTCATCGTATTGGTCAAGAAAGCGCTCGAGTCTAAAACCTCAGTAAAAAAATCACTTTTCTTTATAAGCCACTCATGATATTTGATCTTGTTACTGCTGTAAGAATCCATGTTTCCCACAATTTTCATTGATTTATTTGATTGAAAATGAAAAAAGACATCAGACAATTCATCAGCGAATTGAGAAGAAACCTAATATTTCTGCGATTATTTTAGTTTTATCCCTTGAAAGAAAACCTGTGGATTTGGTTACGAAATTTTTGAGTTTTGTCAGTATACTTCACTTTCTTTAAATTACTGTACATGAAACATCCGTCAATAAAGCCGTTGAAAGAATGAAATTACCATTTAAATCCAGGATTCGAGGTTATCACTTGAAAAAAATCCTCAAATAATTTCAAAGGCTTCTTTCGACAAAAATTGATTTGCAATGCGTTCATCAGAACTTTTGCACACCACCTAAAAACATTTCTTCATGATAGAAAACAGGACTGAATATTTTGATGAAGAACTCTCTAAAATTATAGGGACGGCTGAGAAAGAATTTAGAAGCTTGGATGCACTAATTCAATGATGAATATATGAATCATGCAAGAAAAACGGAACTGAATTGGTGGAACGCACTGTTCACTGAACAAGCTATTAGCCGTGACAAATTACTGGACCTGGTGATAAATGAGTCCTTAGAACAGTCACCTCCATGGTATTAAATTCCAATTTCCCAACGGCCTTTTTTTCGGTGTCAAATAAATTGCGAAAAATCACCCAATTCTCTCCCCCTACACAGAGTCGATGATGACACAGCAGCTGCTGGTCGAGCATCCTTGAGTCGAGTTCAATGTTTTTTTCTGCTAATTATTAAATTTATTTTGGCTTGGAGGTAGATAAGAAATGGCTGAAACTCGGCCACTGTGAAGGTCTCCGGGCCGTGAAATTTGTCCGCTCATTAAACACAGCCGCGAAATGCGTTGACTTCTTCTCAGTTGTCGGCTTCTGATGTTTCGGGGTGGTGGTGATAGTGGTAAATCTCAGATTTTTCAACAAAAAAAAAAAGTCGAACATAACTCAGTTTTCAAGTTGAATACACAAAAACCGATCGCCACGCGAGGAATTCTCATTTTGGGGACGAGTTTTGTCAGCAAAATATATATTTTCTTGATCGAAGTGCTGACCCGAGATGTTTTTATTTTTCGAAATCGAACGCACGATTTTTTCCCCATTTCGAGAAATAAATTTTTCCAAACGAAAAAAAGGTAAGAAAATCTTCGTGGAAAAAATGTTTTTCGCATGAAGTGTCGGAAGCTCATCACTCACGGAGAAAGTTTGGATATAAATACTGGGACTCGAACGAGGAAAAAGGTTGGGTTTCACGGGGACTGAAATTTAAATGTTACCTTAGAAAGATGCCCTTTTGAAATCGAGCTATTTCCTTTTTCTTTCAATTTGGAATCTTGAATTTTTCCAGCCTTACTGTGAAATCGTGACAAAAAAGCTGTCGATTTTTTTCGTGGGATTCGAGAAGCATGTGGGGGAAATAATGGACAATAATGCAGTAAACGGTTCTTCCAGCGGAAAATTAATCCTTTGGGTTCAATCAACCATTGAAAAAACCCCTGCGATTTTTCATTTTCTGCATTTCTTTCAGAAAAAAAAAACGGTGGAAAAATAGTGACGCTTTTTTGTACCCTTGATTATCGTCTCATTCACTTGGCAATTTTTGAGAACACTTTTCAAAAATCCCTGGTGACTTTTCTTCACGCTCATTCTGCATTTATTTCAGAAAAAGCGGGGGAAGATGTTGATGTTTTTTCATCACCTTAATTATTGTCTCGTTTTCTTCGCAATTTTTGAGACAATTGTCATTGCTGAAATTTTGGATTACGTGGAAGAATCGACAGCTTTTCCCGACGAAGAACTGCCAGAGAAAGTTGGAGATTTAATCCCGAAATCAATCAATGAACTTCGTGCTTACATGAGATATTTCAACGAAGGCTATCAGAAACTGTTCAATGAAAGAGCGAATGCCGAGTGGAACTTTCATACGAACACTTCACGGGCCAATGGAGCCAAAAGGGTGAATAATTTCAGCCTAATACACGATACAATGCCCCCCAAAAATTTTTTTTAAAGAAAATAATAAATCAAGTTAATTGGTTAAAACTCTGCGTGAATTCATCTTCGAGCAGCAATTTTTCAAAATTTAGATAATAAAAAATTAGAACGCTGGTTTCAAATTTTTTAAAATTCAACTGCCTAATTATACTGTATTTTTTTTTTCAAATGGCCATGAGCATTAGACGCAGCCATAAATTTACAGGTCTGTGTACATGATAAATGATTATGAAGGATTTGGAAGTTCTGAGCCCAAATGAAACACTGCAGAATTCTAATTTTTCGTACAGTATACAAGTGACATTTTCTCGCGGCTTTTATAGAACGGTCATATAGCTATTTTACATGTGAAATTGTCAAAAAATGGCAGTCAATTCAATGGAGCTTAACGTTCAGGCAAAATTCAGATATTAAGCTTTTGTTGTTTATTTGAGAAAAGAAATTTTGTTTGGAAATCGGAGCCTATAACGTTTATTTCTCTCATCATTTTCTGAAGAAATGTTGCAGGCACAGTTTCTATTCTAAGTTTCACACCACTTAAAGCAAAATTTTTCAAAGAATTGCGTGGCATCATGAGCACTTGTTCATGTAGTTTTGTCACTTTTATCTTCGGGACACTTGCTGAAAATTACAAAAAAATGGTTAATTTGAGCAATTTTTTGAAAGAAAGGAAGAAACATTTTTTGTTCTCTCCAAGGTGGCAGTCAATGTGAAATTTTCCGACTGGGAGAAGCAAGAATGGCGATGGAACATCAGTAGATTCGACTGGTCAATTCTCAACAATGTCGACGAACCCGAACTGAAACGAATGCACGAACTTTTGGCCGTTTTGGGCAACGCCGCCTTGAATCGCAAGAAAACCCGTCAAGTAGATTTCATTCAAATTTTCGATCAGAATCTCCAAAATTATTGTCTGTCATCATTCCGATTTTTTTTTTGAAATCAGAGAAACCGTCTGGTGACCGACATGACATCGATTTACAGCTCGGCCAAGATTTGTCCTGCAAACAACCGTGATTGCAATCTCACAGCTGACAGCAGCGGTTCATGGACGCTCGAATCGAGTGTGTTTCAAATGCATGTGACCTGAAAGCAAATTTTTCATAGTAATGACTCAATCCTTGACTCCCCAGCGTTGAAAACAGTTTTCAAAGACTACCAAAGCCGAGAAAAGGCGGAAAATATGGCGTATGCTTGGAAAGCTTGGCGAGACGCGACAGGAAAACACGTCCGGGAGAAATTCGTCGAATACGTCCAACTTTCTAATGAAGCAGCTGTGGCGAACAGTAAATCAATAAATATAATCAATCATGCCGAGAAAGCACAGGTGTGATATCTGCACTTACGATTCCTGATCGACCTTTTCTCTCCTTTTTTTTGTGTGCAGAGGATCCGAAAATTCGGAATCAAAAAGATCTTTGGATTCTGGCCTACGAAACCGAAGATTTCGAAGAAAAAATCCAGCAACTTCTTGAAGAACTCATGCCATTTTACAAAGAGCTTCACGCATTTGTGCGACACCGCCTTCGACTTCATTACGGGGAAGATTTTCTTGAACCCGATGGGCTCATTCCTTCTCACTTGCTCGGTAAGTGTACCAAAAACAATCGTAAAAAAGATTAGATAAACGTGCTAAAAATTTACATACTCAGGTAATTTGTGGGCCCAAAAGTGGCAAGAAATCTTCCCGATTGTCTCCGAATTCCCCAACGCTTCTTTGGACGTGACTGAAGCTATGAGAAAAGTACGTTTTCACTTTATTTTTTTTGCTTGTCATTCTTGATAATCTTGACTGATGGTGGTAATTTCCTGAAGCAAAATTACACGGTCAAGCAAATGTTCGAGTTGGCTGATAGATTTTTCGAAAGCTTGGGGCTGATAAGTTTGGAGGAAGGAGCCCCGGCTTTCTACAATCTGTCCATGCTTCAAAAACCGAAAGAAAAAAATTTGAATGTTGTTTGCAACGGAAATGCCAGAGATTTTATGGCGACAGACGAACTTCCTGGTGATTTCAGGTACTGTAAATTTGAATTACTCCAATATTTTTCATTTCGTTTGATAACTTGTGAAATATAAAAACACCGAAGTAGCTTATTGAGCTGCTCTTAAGTTATTAAGCGCTTGCAAGGTCTTCGTGAAGTTTTACTTATGTAAGTTTCTTTAGTTTACTTTTACTTATAAAATTAGATGTTAGCGTTAAAATTGATCGTCAGAATACACTCGAAGTTCTTTATTGTGATAAGTCTGGTAATGCATGTTCACTGTTTTAGAAGTGTTCGAATTCAATTTACGAATAAAAACCACTTTGCTCGGAAATACCAGAAACACTACCGTAATAAGATATTTTTTTTCATGTTTAGGTCATATTAGATGTCACTAATTAAATAACTCATTGAGAAAGTCAAATATCGGCCTACAATTCAGAATTTATTTTTTAATATTAATCTATTTCTTTCTATTTTAATTTTATTGGCTTTCCAATCTTCGTAAAAGAACTAATTGCTAAAGTTTTACATTTGGTAAAATAATTTCTCAATTTTTATCATGATTCAATTCGGAAAACTGCTTAGTATATATTTCACCATTGTGCGGAATTTTTTGTTGAGAACAATTAAAACTGACAAAATACTTTTAAAATTAAACAATAATTGGCGCGTCTCGGGACACGCCCGCAGCTGTTCAAAAAAGGCCCTTCCACAGGGCTTCAAAACAAAATTGTCGTAAACTCGACAAACCGTCGAGTATATCGAAACAAAAACCCATCTCTGGGGAAACGACTTCAACTGAGAGTCGAATGACCCCTCATTCCCCGCTTCAAGGAGATTGAATATCTCAAAAGTACGCCCCAAACTTTACCAGCTGCTGGCTCCCAGTCG